ACTCGTCTCATTCACACTTTTCATGCATGTAAACAGCAGCGCAGCAAACTGGCGACATGCGCCCACACAATACTCAGAGATATGGCATCCAAATAAGAGTTCACTTTCAACTAGCTATGGCGACTCAGCGCCCAAACAACTCACTGTTCACACGCACCGGATCACCCTGGATATCCCACACGCGTAACTCTAAACACTCACACATACACACACACTTCTCACTAACTACAGCTATGGCAGCTATGGCTGCCTCTACCCTATCGCTATACTAAGCTCCTTCTCTCTCGCCCACTGCGTCCTCCGGGCTCACTGCAGACCTCCTTGCACAAGTCGCTGTGGCAACACTTCCACATGGCTCACGCAGGAGTGAATGAAAGGCTGGGCGCTGCCTCTTGATTTATACTTCGGAAACTCGTTGGTCTGCCCTTGGCCATCAGCCCATGGTGCTCACAGTCCCCCGTGGTACTTGCTGGACCGGACTGGGACTGACTGGACCTGACCGCTGACCAACTGGGGACTCACTGCTATCCCACCGGACTCGTACTGCAATCGCACTGCGGTTTAGTCCCCACTTGCCTCACCACTTGACCACTTGCCGACCTTCTAGAAGGTCTCCAGCTAAGCTTCTGGAACTCGCTAAGACTTCTACCCTATAGACCTACAGATCGAACCCCTGCTACCTATGGACCTATGATAGACCTACCAACTGCCTACAAATACACAGGTCACATGTTCAACTCTCAGGATCTACACAGATACTGTACATGGGTAGGGTGAGGTCTAGGGATCGAACCCTGGGGTCTGCATCTGCTACTGCAACAGATAGAAAGGCGGCACAGATTCCGTCTAAGTATGACGGAAAGGACGACATCGAATCATGGATCAACTCTATGCGATCCTACTTTGATGTGTTGGGGACACTCCCGGTTACTAAGTTGTCGGTCCTAGGGACCAATGTGGAACCCGCCGTAAGGGGTTTCTTGTTAATCCAAGCTGTACAGTCAGGCTACAAAAGAATAGACCTGAACAAATGGTTGAAGGCTACGCCTGTAGCCACGCTCGAAGAACTCTTGATTAAACAGAATGCTGATCCACATGCTGCAACTAAAGCTAGACTTAAGCTTGACAAGCTCAAGCACAACAAGTGGACCGGCACCATGCATAGCCTGCAGCAGTATGTCAGGAGACTCTTTGCCAGTCCGGATCTGGAGATGACTGTGCAGTCTTGCTTGGGTGTGATAAAACGTATGGTCCCCTCTACTATAACGCATCGCCTAGGACTCAGACTCATAGCGTACAGAGATTGGCTTACCCTCATGCGGGATTTAGTCAAACTGGAGGCACACGACCTCCCGGGTGGATCGGGTGGCAAAAAGACCACCGGCCGCAAACGGTTTCCAGGCAACAACTGTTTTGCAACACATGATGTACTTGAGGTTGACGAGGAGACCCTCGTGGAGGATTCTTCTCTTGATGACGATCAAGAGCAAGACTGCGGGGTATCTTGCTCTTCGTCAGCCCATGAGTTTGAGTATGTGAATGACGAAGAATCTATGAATGCCTTCAAAAAGACTGCCTTCAAAAGTAAGGGACCGAGGACCACAGTGAAGAACAATACTAACACTATTCTTCTTCCCAAGGGAGCGAAAATTCCACCCGAACCGGAACATCCTGCCACCAAACCATGGGTAGATCTCCGGATCAGTGAAAGTGAGTGGAAACACATGGTGAAGAAAGGGGTTTGTCTGCATTGCACCAAACCGGGACACTCCATCCAACATTGTTTCAGATTGCAGCAGGGAAACCAGCAACGGGGGTAGAGACATCATCAGCACACTCTACAGACGGAGAGGCTGAACATGTAAGTGCAAGTCCTTCACTGGATTCTGATCCCACTCATCAAACCTCTCCCGAGACCCCATCTGACGCTGATTCCAAGGCTGAGAAAATACACATCCTATACAAGGAGCCTTGGGTGGAGTCGGAAAAAATCGACTTTCTTGCTCTCTTATCGCGTTGGGCTCACATGAAGCAAGAACGCGCGCAAGGGAGGACGAAGCTGATCTTCTTCAAGCTTCTCATTAATGGCCGTTACATCCGTGCGTTGGCTGATTGTGGCGCAACCGCTAACTACTTCTCACCGCACGGCATTTGTAAGGCACACTTGGGAATGAAGCAAGTGACTTTGTAGAATCCTTGTCGGACCCAAGTGGGCAACCAACAGGTCTTGGTTGTCACATCTACGCATGCAGTCAAAGGTGTGCGCACGACCTTTGACGCAGATCACACTATCACGCATGAGTTGAACTTCTATGTCCTTGGTAAGTGCCCCTTCGACGCGGTTATTGGCTTGGGCTGGTTGCAGGCCCAATGTGAAAGAACCATGTGGAAGGATTCACAATTCATGGTCAAAGATGCCATGGGAATCGAGCGTCCAGTCCTCTTGGATGAGTCGCAAGAGTCCCAAGTCACTTTTCTCAATGCAATGCAATTCTGCAAAAAGTGACGCAGGCACAAAGTTGATGAGCAAATGTATATAGCCTTTGTTAGGCCTGCTGCCTTCTATTTTTGCTGTACATAATGATTCCACTTTGCATGCAGTTTCTACTTCTAATGCAACTACTACTTCTACTAAATCCACTTCTAGACCAAATGACTCTGCTTCTAATCCTGTTGGTTTGGTTGTGCACCTATGCCACCCGATATGCTTGCACCTGAGAGTGATGATCCACCTCCGGAAGTCCCATCCGAAATTTGCAACCTTCTCAACCGATTTCCTAAAGTCTTGGCCGAACCGCATGGAGTTCCCGTGCGTCCAGTCCGACATAAGATCGAGTTGATAGAAGGTAACACTCCTCCAAAGGGTTGTGTCTATAAAATGGGCTCACGCGAATTGGAGGAGTTGCGAAGACAGATTGATAACATGATTGGGAAGGGATGGATCAAGCCAAGTGAATCCAAATTTGGTGCACCGGTTCTGTTTGTCCCGAAGAAAGGAGGCAAACTACGGATGTGTATCGATTACCGCGGACTGGATAGAATAACAAGAAAGAATGCATACCCTTTGTCGTGTATTGATGATTGGCTTGATGTTGTGGGTGGGTGCAAGGTCTTCAGCAAGATCGATCTCAAGTCTGGCTACCACCAGATTGAAGTTGACCCTGCAGACCAGCATAAAACTGCATTTAAAACTCGCGATGGGTTGTATGAGTTTACTGTCATACCCTTCGGCCTCACGAAGGCACCGGCCACCTTTCAAAGTCTCATGGACAAGGTGTTCCGTAATCAGATCAACCGATTTGTTGTTGTGTACTTGGATGACATACTAATCTTCAGCAAATCGATGGAGCACATGAGACACCTTGAGGGGGTGTTGCAGACCCTCAAGGATGTGCAGCTCCATCTCAACTTGGAGAAATCTGACTTTGGGAGGGACAGCGTCATCTACCTTGGACATCGGTTGTCTGTTGCAGGCCTAGAGCCCAAGGCAACCAAAGTCCGCGAGTTGCGTTCTTTTCTTGGTCTTGCATCATACTACCGTAAGCTTGTACCCAAATTCTCTATCATTGCCGAACCGCTGTCCAGATTGACCAGCAAGAATGTGTCCTACACATGGGATGGGGAATGCACAACAGCCTTCCAAGCATTGAAGGAAGCTTTGGCAAGTCATCCGGTGCTCCGCATTGCAGATCCCAAACTTACATTTGTAGTAACTACGGATGCAAGCTAGTATGGGATTGGTGCAGTGCTGCAACAAGATGACGGCCACGACTTACGTCCGCTCGAGTTCTACAACAAACGTATGCCCAGTGACAAGGTAGTTGCCTCCACTTACATGCAAGAACTCTACGCCTTGAGAGAGGCTCTAGATCATTGGAAGCACTATCTCTCGGGTCGCCATTTCAAAGTGTTCTCAGACCACAAGACCTTGAAATGGATTCAGACACAGAACAATCCCTCGACTACACTGACCCGCTGGCTGAATGAGATTGTTGTGTATGATTTCGAACTTAGGCACAAGAAAGGTTGTTACAATCTCGTTGCGGATGCTTTGTCTCGCCACCCAGAGTACACGACTTGTCTTGTGGGTTCTTATGATCTCCGTAAAAATTTGAAGGTAGAACTCATCGAACATACTGCCAAGGACACGGAACTCAGTCCCATCCTCGAGCAGATTCGGGTTGACCCTAGCAGTCAGCCTGTTTTCCACGGGTGTAAGGGCTTACTTTTCCGACGTTACGTGAAGCACGACCGACTGTGTGTACCCAACCATGTGACGATCCTTACTCACTTCTTGGACTTGGCTCATGGACGGAGTGGACACTTCGGTTTTGAGAAGACATACGAAAGTCTGCTGCAAAAGTTTGTATGGCCCGGAATGAAAGGAATGACACAAAAGTTTGTGGCTGAGTGTGAAGTCTGTCAACGCATCAAACCGTCTCGACAGAAGCCCTATGGGCTGCTACACCCTCTTCCTATTCCTGATGGCCCGGGTGAGTTTCTTTCCATCGACTTCACGGACATGAGAAAGAAGAGTAAGAATGGATATTCAGAAGTAATGGTGATCATTGACCGCTTCTCCAAGTTTTTGAATCTGATCCTGTTACCACCTCATGCCCCAACTTATCTTGTGATCAAAGAGCTTCACAAAAAGTACATTCTGCAGTATGGGCCTCAAAAACTATTGTGAGTGACCAGGACACTCGGTTCATAAGTGCAGATTGGAAGGACTTCACCTCCCAGACCTATGACATGAAACTCGAGATGACGTCTAGCCAACATCCCAAAGCCAATGGACTGGCTGAGGAGATCAACCAGACTGTGATCAAACTTCTCCGAGCTCTAATTGTGCCTGATCAGAACTCTTGGGACAAGGAACTGCCAATTGTGCAAGGGTTGTACAACAACTCCATACACTCTTCCACCGAGATGACACCTAACCGGCTGCCCTTGGGTGGAAGATTCACAATCCCTTATCTTATCTGTTTCCTGAACAACCACCTCGGCTGACACCTGGCCAGCCAGGCTACAGCGCTAAGTTTGATCGTTTGCTTAAAGTTGTTGTCACGACTATGGAGAGGCGACGCAATGCTATGATTAAGCATGCAAACAAAAAGCGCCAGCCTGACCCTTTCACAGTGGGAAGTTCTGTTTGGGTCAAGATGTCTGAATTTTCTGAAGACGAAGGCGTATCACGAAAGCTTCTTCCTCAGTACTACGGTCTGTGGAAGGTGTTGAACCGGGTAGGAAACGATTCCTTTGGTCCTTCTTACACAATCGATGTGCCTCCTCACCTACGTACGTACCCAGTCTCTCATGCGTCCAACCTGTTTCCGTATAAATCACCCGAAACTTTCAAGTACCGAGAGTCAATGATTCCTCGTGCAATCCAAGGTGGTCACGAGGTTGATAGAATTGTCGAGCACAGTGGAAAGGGGAGAAACAGAAAATATAAAGTTCATTTTCTCTACCACCCGTTGAATGACTTCTACTGGATTACTAAGAAAGACTTGCTGCAGAGCGCCCCGCAAGTCGTCAACGCATATGAACGAATGATTAGCTCTGGACAACCGAAGTTCACTGCTACCCTCACTCCTACGGAACATATCCGATCTCTTTTTGCTATTTACCTCTATGATGCATTATGCAGGGACTCTGATTGAGTTACTCGCTTGAAGGGACCTTGCTCTTGAGGGGGGGGTAGTGTAATGACCCGCCATAAAACAGACTGAGAACACTGCTGATTTCTGAAGTTCTGCCGATGGAATGGATGCCTTGCTAAGATTCCCGCATTCTGCTGTGTTTTCTAAGTCTGTATGTTTGCGTGCCTGTTGACTTGCGTGTCTGTCTGAGTGCTTGTCGACATGAGTGCGTGTGCGACCCGCAAGGGTACTTGTTTGGCAGGCCCGTAGGGCCGGTACTTACCTGTGGTTGTGGCATTGAGGGTTGCAGCAGGGGAAAACACTCAAGTAGAGGAGCCAGGGGCCCGCGACACCTGGAGCAGCGGAAAAACACTCAAGTAGCAGGTAGGCTGGTACCGCACCCAGTAGCAGTAGATGTGTCGGGTACTTGAGGCCGAGCAGAAGAAGACAAAGTTGGCATTTTTAGAGGCCGAGTAGCGGTAGGCTAGGTCTAGGCCGGTACCAGTCCATCCAGTCTGAGTCTAGAGCCTGTATGGGCAATATCAGAGTCTGCAATGATGTTTCCCTCCGAAAGGGAGGAAGTACCGGTTGCTTGGGAGAGCGGCTCGGAAGTCACCGCCCAAGAGGCAAGCACACCGCTATATCAAGAGGTCGAGGCAAGAGCTCGGCCTCATTCTTCAGTGTGCAAGTTTGGCGACACGCTGCTGGAGCGCTGGCTGAAGTAGCGTTGGGTACTACAACGTTGCTGGGAGGAAGAAGTCGGGAGCTTCCACGTTGGCTATGGTGGAGCTCCACCAGTAGGAGGAGGAGGGAGAAGGGGACCAAGGATGAGAGTGGTGGGGTACTTACCTGGCTATGGTAGACACCATCTTCATCACCTTGTTAGGCGCTGCATCTGGAAGGCCCCAGTGGGGGTAGTGCCGCATCAAGGAAGCTTGGGACAGAGTTAGGCATGGCGGTTGAGTGGGCAGAGGCATAGCTGCGGGGAGTTGACCTGGAGACAGAAGGGCAGTGACTTAGCTGCTTTGGGTTGTCCTTTGGACAGGAGGGAGAGCCCTCAGTACTCCGCCATAGCCTCGGCCAGTATGTAGAGGAAGAGGAAGAGTGGCCATGGCTATGGTGGACCTCATGTTGTGCCTGCAGTAGAAGTGGATTCGGACATTGATTCTGGTTCAGCCATTCAACATTATTATTGTTATTTCTTGTTTGAATAAGAGGGGAGGAGATAAGGAGGAGGAGATTGGTTGGCGAGGAAGAAGAGCCTTGTCATTGGTCTATGCTGGAGTACATCAYCTTCTTCTTCTTTCTTACTTCTTCTTCTTCTTCTTTCCCTCTCTGTCCTTTCAAGTTCATTCATTTCTTTTTGCAATTGGACGGCAGTGTACTTTCTGATGTTTATATACTTCGAAATTGGCCAGTATCGTAACAATTGATGTTCCAGTGGGTACGGGAAACAATGGTCAGGGGGAACAAGGAATGTCTATTGATGTTCTAGTGGGTACGGGGAACAATGGTTAGGGAAACAGGGATCTGCTAATGATGTTCTACAATGTTGTCAAAGTCAGGAAAAATAAAAATGAAAATGTTTGTTCAGGATGCAAGGGCTGGTGTCTCCGGAGGAGTCGGAAGCAGAATCTCAGGTAGGAACAAAGTGTCCAAGTGTCTTGAAAAGGGGTCTGTGGCGGTCTTGATCAGGTCTTTGGAGTCAGCAGCTGCGACAGGTAGGAGTCCAAGAAGCGTAGTAGTAGTTCAAGTGTCAAGGTCCAAGTGCTAGGGTGCGTCCGGTACACGAACTGCAATGAGGTCTGATCTGGAAGCAAGGAAGTCGCAGACTGATGCAAAGATCCATGTCACAAGTTGCTGCTCCAGTAAGTCCGCGAGTCGGGATGTCGGCCAATGAAACAGCATGGTGGCCAAACCAGCTGCATAATCTCCATGAACAGTGAGGCAGCAGGTCATCGTCCTCGTGCACTTGCCATTAGATCCTTTATCGCCGGCGTCACGCAGGTTCACAAGCATTGGACAAGAGAGACAAGGTAGTGGAGAGGACAGATGGGACAAGGCTCGGTGAAGGTAAGGGCAGATCAGACATAAGGAATCAGGGTCAAGGGGAGGGTGGCTGGGTTCAAGGGTGTGTGTAAAGCAGGGTTGCGAGGGTTTAGTAGGGTTTATACAAGGGTTTAAGGTTGAGAGTAGAAGAGCAGGTGCCAGTGGGGTGCTCGACCGACGGGATAGCAGATGTCGTCGGGAGGGGGGCAGGCGGAGTAGACTGCGTCGCCCGGGGGTCGTCCGATGGGGTGTGCATCGCCGAAGGGGGGTTAGGCAGACGGATAGTCGATGCCAAGTGCGCCACCGGTGGAGGAGAGATCGTCACCAATGGGAGAGCCGACAGACAAGTGGTCGATGCCTGGGAAGGATTGAAAGAGACAGGGGGACCGTGTTCAAGTGGGGGAGGGCCCGGTTGTCGAGGTGGAGGAAGAAGTTGGAGTAGAAGGGCCGGGTCTCGTGGAGCGAGGGGCCGGTCGAGTAAAGCGGCTAGCGTTGGTTTGTTGATGACCTAACTGGCGGCAACGAAAACACCTGTTGTGTTCCTGGAGGTATATGCGTTCTGCGGGTGTGAGTTTTTGGAGACGACGGGGTGGAGAGGCAGAAGGCGGTCGGGAGGCACGATCCTGGCGTTCCGTCCGCATAAGGTGGGCGGTCTGGAGGTCCTCAATGGTGAATTGGGAGGGATCGAGAGAGGCAGTGTCGAAGACGTCATCGAAGGTGGGTGGAGTGGTGTCGTTATGGAAAAAGCGGGGGTGGGAGGGAGTGGGCGCGGACTGGTGATGGGGGTGGAGTCGTCAATCGGGGTGAAGCATGCGAGAGAGGAGGTCAGCAAGGGGCATGTCCGGTTCGTGGGCGAGGGCGGTTGCAAGGTCTTTGTGGCATACTCGCTTGATGCGGGAGATGAACGCAAAGTTGGGAATGACGGTGGTGGGGAGGTGATGGCGGAGGGAGCGGATGTATTGGACGAAGCGGTCCGTGGGACCAGTCTGGCGGAGGTGACAAAATTGTTCGAGGTAGTCATCGATGGTTTTCTGGGGGCGGAAGGTGGCAGTGAGAAGTTTGGCCCATTGAAGGAAGGAACGACGTGGTCCTCCGGAGCCTCGACGGTTGCTGACTTCAGCCATCCACCATTTGGCGGCATTGCCGAGGAGGCGAGAGGTGGCAATGGGGAGCCAGTGGGCAAGGGGCATGTGGTGGAGGTAAAAAGAGTTCTGGAGCTGGGTTAGGAAGAGGAAAACGTCCTCGTGGGGGAGGCCGGAGAAGGACATGATGTCGACGGATCAAAAGGAACGGGGGATTTCCCCGTCATGGGGAACGATCTGGGCAAGGGTGTTGAAGCTGAGGTTATCGAGGGTGGTGTCGTAGCAGGTGTAGTCGAGTTGGTTGTTGTCCTCAAGGAGGTAGTTGGGGGGGAGTTGTGGCATTGCGGGGTAAACCCCTGAGGTGACTTGGGGATAGGTGGGACGGATGGTGGGGAGGGTGGAGGTTGCCATGATGGGTTGGGGAAGGGTATGGGAGTGCAGGGGGGAAGAGGGGTGGCGTGGATGGGCGAGGAATGAGGCGGTGTGTTGGATGCGCCGGATGAGGGAGGAGGTGGGGGGAACGAAACGGTGGTGGAGGTTGAGGAGGAAGGGTTGGTGGATGTGGTGGTAGAGGTGGTAGGAGTGGAGGAGGTCGGCGGGCGGTTGTGGAGGAGGGAGTGGTTTGCGCTGTGGAGGGAGTGATTTGCGCTGTGGAGGGAGTGGTTTGCGTTGTGGAGGAGGGAGGTGCGGCCGTGGTGACGACCGTGATGGAGGGGTTGTCCCCTTCGAGCGTGGTGACGCGGTCGGATATGGACGACATGGTGGCTTTTATGTGGTCGAGAGAGGCGGTGACGAAGGTTTGGAGGGTGTTGAGTGTGTGGAGGATGGCGGAGAGGTCGGGGGTGGTGGTGTTTGCTGGTGGTTGTTCGCCTGCGAGGTTGCGGGCGATGCTATCGACCAAGTGTGTGGAGGAGGTCGGAGCGGATGTCTGACATGTTGATGGAGGATGCGGCCATGTCGGGGGAAGAGGGGGTGGAGGACGCGGCCAGAACGGATGTGGAGGATGCAGCAGCAGCGGTGGCGGCGGC